AACACCATTTTGGTGGCTTTTAGTACATGGATTTGATTAGCGCATATTCCGAGAATACCTGTTCTTTCCACATATTTTTTCATGAAATATCAGGAAGCATTTTTTTTTATATATATAACATATCTACTTTACCTGCCAATAGGTATTAAATTTGCCATGAATTCCTTCAGCTCATCCCAAGTAGAGAATAACCCAGCCCTCAAGGGAGAAAATTCAATCCTAACAAGTACGATAGTGAGGAAATGGGCAAACTCAAAGCAGAACTGCATTGAACTGGTCAAACTAATTCACATGGTAGACTACTTTTTAGACAGCTAGTTTCTCTAAAGCCTCTTCTAAAGAAAAACCATGGACAGCTTAAATGAAAACTAGGTTTTTGAAATGATTAACATTTGTTATATTTTGAAGCCTCAAGCAAGATAGAAGGTCTTAGAATCTCTGATTTAATTGTCTCTTTTTACTCGTTGGGTCTCTCTTTATCTTAGCCTCATGGAATGGCATGAGTTAACAAAAAGAAACCTTACTCTTCAACAAGTTTGGCCTTTGGATCAATTGAAATTACTAAGATCTCTGCAGGAATTCAAAGCTACATTGATACTCATAGAGCCTCATTGATAAATCTAAGCTTTTTAAAAACAGTTTAGACCTCTTATGTTAAGTAGCTTACTTGTCCAATATAAAGATATCATTCCAACAGTCAAGTTAAACCTTAGCAGAGTAGCAAAGGTTGCATATTTACATCTTTGCCCCCCAAAATTTTAGTCTCCTTGTAACTTAATTCTTTTTGACAGTGTCTCATAATTATCCTCGTGTTCATGGTCTTTTCTTAGCTATTTGCTCCCACTTTTTCTTATCTTTAGTTGTAGCAATATCACAACTTATTTTTATGAGGGGGTATTGCTTTAACACTAAAAGCTAACAAAATACCTTGACACCAAATGATTAACCAGAAAATGAAAAAACTAGTAGAAAAAGGCAAAGTTTTATGTGCTATATACCTTGATCACTGGTGTTTGGTCAGTGGTTTGATCAAACTAGTGCTTATCAATAGAAGTAATAGATTATATCCTAAATAGTAATGTTTCAAGTTTTCTTAAAAATGTGGAAGAATACCAACAGACATTCCATAAATGTATATCCATGCCACGTATCAGCCAGTTCATTTATACATGTTTTATCTTGAAGGCTCCCTAATTAAAATGGAGATAATTAACCTGAAAGAGTTCGTATAGTGGTTGATTTGAATGTAAGAAAGGGCTTATGTTCAATCCCTTCAAATTTGTTAGCATTATAACCAGGTGGTAAACATTTTTTATTTAGTTTCCACTGGTAAATACAGTAAAGAGTCACTAAACTCTTTTATGTTGTAAAGCTATTATATAACACTAATCCCTTTTTTCCCCATTAGGTGCTAGAGTTGGTATGAAGGGTTTACTGAAGTCGAGGGTGTGTTTGATCCTGCCTAATACATCTGCAGCTGACAATGAGAGAAGAAACGAATGTCACATGAAGTCTCGCCCCAAAATCATCATGGGATTTGTATTCTTTTGAGTACTTTATTTCCTTTTTTTCCTTCTTTATGACCTTGGGACATTGGGAATGCCCAGCGAACTCTCCGCCATCAATGTAACTCCATGGACTTTGCTGCTGTTGGTGGTGTGGTTATCTAATTTTTGTGATAGGGAAACAAATTCTTTTGAATAAAAATAAATAACAAAAAATAATAAAAGTTTATTGAGCCACAGCTGAGCTGGGAAAAGTTTTGTCAAATGTAATGAGAGATACTTTCTTCAAGAAGTTGCACACATGAATTACAGAGGAATGTTTTAGTGGATAATTTTAAGATCCATTATTTCCCAACCATTTTGAAATTATGTATATCAACTTAAACAAAACAAAGTATATGGGTATCTTCCAGAGAACTTAATGTTTACAATAGAAAAGATTACAATAACTAGTTCTCTTTGCCTTTTAAATGTCACATATACATACCCTAAATGTCAAGTCAATTTATTTTATAAAAATTATAGGTAACCCATCCAGGGTTAGACAGTGATTTGGATAAGGGTAAGCAGACTTTCTGGGAAGGGCATGATGGTAAATATTTTAGGCTTTGCAAGGCCATGTGGCTGTGTCATAGCTATTCAGCTCTCACGGGAGAGCAGCCACACATGTATGTGAATAAACAGGCTGGCTGGGAAATAGGAGGGGCAGACTTTGCCTGGAAATCATATCTTGCCAAATCCTGACTTAGAGGAAAAGCATTTCAAGCCACATCATCTCTTAGATTGTCTAATTTTATAAATTGACTTCAGACTACAAAAGGAAAGATGTTAGTAAAAAGCAGGTCAAGCAGAAGTAACATAACAGCTCCTTTAAAAGTCTGAACACTTTTTAAGCAAAAGATAAAAAGCAAAATTATGCTCCATGTTTTATAAAAGTAAACACTTGGAAAAGGTTGGTTGAATACAGATATTCTTGACAAAGGTAATTAGAATATCCTCAACTTAAAATTATGAAACCTATGACAAGTGTTTTGGAACTTAGAAACTTGAATATTAGAAAATGAATAGAAAACATATACTATATAAATAATCCCCAACAAAGTCTGGAGCAATATTCCACAAACTCATCAACACTTCTGCAGCAAAGCAAATAAATGTTCACACTATATGGGATTAATTAACAAAAGCTAAAAACAGTCTTGCATTAGTTCAAGTCAGGTTTTACCACCAAGCAAGTTTGCCTCAATGTAGGTGAATAATTTTAATTTCCAGATCTTCAAGAGAATTACATCCTACTTCTGGGAGTTAAGACTTTTTGGACTCAATTCTTAGAGAAAAGCTATACCTGTCACCAACCAGAACCTGATACTCCAGATATGTTTTCAGAGAGTAATGTGCTTTTGTGAAGATGCAGAAAGAATAGTCAAATGCAGATCCTTCACTTAACGAACCTCACTTAGGGGATGTGTGTACTGAAAAATCATTAAGTAAGAAGCAGAGAGCCTCTTTGTATACACTTAAATAGCAGATTATTATGTTGTTTTATTTGGCCTTACTTTTTAAAATATTTTTTAGTTATACATGGACACAATCTTTATTTTTTATGGGATGCTGAGGATCAAACCCAGCGCCTCACATGTGTGAGGCAAGTGCTCTGCCACTGAGCCACAACCCCAGCCCTTGGCCTCACTTTTTTATGTCTTATTTCAAGCTTATTTCTATATTATAGAGTCATGTTAATTTCCATATGTTTGAGAGGATATAATGTACATTTAGTTATCAAAGGAACTCTTTTTTTAGTCATTCTATGTTCTGATATATATTCATTTATATGAGAAGGGAACTAACATAATCTGTAAGTAATAATTAGAAATGATGCACATTTTAAGACCAAAAATACTTATTCAAGAATAGCATAGGTTGTTGATAGGTTTCAGTTTAATCTTCATTTCAGTACATATTTGTAGGTCTTTCTCAGAGCTTGCTGTTGTTCCCAAGCACACACTTGTGTATGGGAAATGTTAAAGGTTGAAGTACACTATGAAGTTCTTGTAAGACGACTGAGCTACTGAACATCAAAAGATGGATTTGTTGAGCTACTACTTTGTGTTTTTTTGATGCATTCAGAAAGATGAGCCTGACTGGATCATGAGCAGGCAACGAGGAGAGAAGTATACAGTGAGTTTGAAAAGGTAGAGGAGCTGATAGGTAAGAGCTTCTAGGGCATGGGTGAGAGTTTAAATTTTGTTAAAGCAGGTGAAGGGAAGGGTTAATGAGAATGGCATGTTCTGATGGCTGGTGAATGGATGGATGAGACAGGAGCGCAATTACATGATTAGTCAAGATTTGGTCCATGGGGCTTGGACCAAAGGTAGTAGCATTGTTCCACTCAAAAGCCTGTTTCAGCTAGTAGAGTTTGCCACAATCTTCATTCCTGTATCTTGGAAGATTCTTGGTTAACTTTTAAAGTTATTGTTTTATGCTAACCTGTCACAACAAAGAATGTAACTCAGCAAATTTATTCAATCCCCAATCAGCAGTGAGTAAGTCACGTAGAAACTTCATGGCCAAAATGTTCATGAGCCACTTAGAGAACCATTTCACTAATTTAAGCAAATCTAGAAGCTGTCTAGCTCTGGTTCTGAATATAAGGGTAATTGGTCATTGCCCCTAATGTAATTATACAAACGTAACTGCAATTTATAGGAAACTTCTGCTTATCCTGAGCCACTTAGGTTACATGGCTAACACTAACACCAGTAACAGTAGCACCTTGCAGTTCCTTCCCTAGCAGTTAGCTGTCAACTAATGTGGCTTCTAGACTCAAACTGAATATTTTAGAAATATTTGTTGAGCTGCTACTTTGTGTGAGGAACTGTGTGCTACATACTAGGGATAGATATAAAATAAAAATATGACCCCTATCCTTAAGAAGCTTATTGTGTGGTGGGAGAGACAGGTAAGTATGCAGGGTATGAATACCTTGGTGGAAATAAGCCTCAGGTTATATTGGAAAAGCATATAATCTAGAGGAGTAAAAAATGAAGGGCTGAGAATAGAGGTAGTTGTCAAGATTTTTTTTTCCCCCTGCAGGAAATAACATCTAAGCTGAGTTTTGAAAAGTAAGAATTAAGCGCTAAGAATGTTTGGTGTAAGCAAAGAAATGTTCAAGATCAAGGGGTTGAAACAAAAAACCATGAGTAGCTCCCATGGCCTAAACTAGGACAACTGAGCAACAGAGTAATATCAGATTGTAATCCAAAGTATAAATTAATATCCACGAAGCCATCATGCAAATGATTTGATAAATAAATGGTAAAGAAGAGACAATTTTTCCACACAAAATTCCAAATTCTTTATATAGATGCTTTATCCTCAAGGAAATGGAAATGTCATGTTGATAGTAGGCAATGAAAATTTTAACATTGTTGTCTTTTTTCAAAAAATAATCCCATAACCCCAATATAAAGAGAAAAACATCAAACAAATCCTTCTTGAAGAACATAGTAAACTAAGCACCTGACCAGTATTCCGTGCTTTCAAAGTCATCAGAAACAAGGCCTAAGGAACTGTCACAGCCATGAGCAGCCTAAGGAGTTGTGACTAAGTGCTCCTGCTCTGTACTACCCTGTGTGGGATTCTGAAACAGAAAAGAATATTACATTAAAACAGGAAATCTAAATTATATGCTTTAGTTGATATTAATATATCAGTGTCAGTTCATTAACTATGACAAATACTCCACACTAATTTGTTAGTAGGAGAAATTGGATGTAAGCTATAAAGGGACTGTACTATTTTTGCCATTTTTCCATAAGTCATTTTTATAAACCTCAAAAATATATAAAAATGTATAATGTTTGAAGCATGAAGATACATCATTATATACAAAACAAAGTGCAGGACCAACAATGGGAGAAAGACATAAGTAACAATGGCTCTCTACCAGATATCATTCTTTAGAAAGGCAAAGTATAAGCAGTTTGGAGGAGATTGACATTCCTGTCTCGACTTTATCACCAACAAATCATATAATTTTGCAAAAAATGATAAAAACTCTTTTAATATTTGTCTCTGAACTCTGCCTCCTGAAAATGACACTCTCAATAAATAAAATTCACAAATCGTGAGATTTCACTATACAAAGTCCTTAGTCATTCTTGTAATTTAGTCATACAGATATGAGTACCTATAGTTTTTATTATTTTTACCTAAGATTATTACAGCTTCTCTATATGAGAATTGAGAAATCTTTTCATCTCTGTACAGTTTTAATTTCTCAATTCTCTATAAGTTGTTTGCCCCTTATCAGTTTTAGAAGCAAACTCCATAGTGCCCAAATTCTAAAAAAGATCTAGGGTTGGAAGTGGGTTGGGAGTCTCATGAATTCCAAGTTCAGGTTTCCACTGATAATAGCAGTCAAGGTGTTATGAATTTCCTTATATGAATGAACTTGCTTTACTGTCAATGATAATCTGTGACCAACTGTTTCAGAACCTTTTTGGAAGAACCATGTAAAGTCTTTTTAAGATTTTCAAGAGAAAGAATCAAGTCAAACACAAGTAACTAATTGTATACTCAAAATATAAATGTTTACCTTTAGTTTTATACATCTAAGAGAATGTTTTATCCCAGAACTTAGGAGTGAGCTTCAGTGGAACAGCAACCTAGTCAGTCCCCTCCTGGGTTGGCGCCTCTACTCATGGTCTACAATGGATGTGGAAGATTGCTCAGGAGGGAAGGTAAAGTCCTGACTTCATCTCTTCTAGGTCAAATAAATATCCTCTTCTTTTTTCACTTTTCTTCCCTTTCTGGTTCTTTCAGCCTGTGCTATTGATATTTCCTTTCTGAATATGAAGTTTTCCAGGCCCTTAACATTTACATGAAGACTAGGAAACCTCTGTTTTCTTGAATGATGATGTCTCATAAAATATTCAGACATACTTTATGATAACGTTCATACTCTGCCTAATTTTGCAAAGTTAAATTTTGTTAAAAAAAAAAAAAACATGTTTCTCCTAATTAATCATAGTTAAACATTAGCCCATTTTTCAGTTTGTTTTGTTTAATATTTAAAGACCAAACTCTGTTAAGTCTTTATATTGTAAGAAAGTCCTCACTTGCACTTGCCAGATTCTGCCTGGTCAGTCCTGGGAGCTGCTTCTGAGCTCCATGGTACCCTGGGCAGATACGAGCTTCTATTCTTAGAACTGGGTCGTTATGCTCATGTGCTACTGAATTGCAAGGCTTTTCTATAGCTTCGGTTACATATATATAACTTCTCTGGAAAGGCCTCTGGCACTCTTGGAAATTAAAAGTACTCCATGAATACAGGGCAATATGGTATTAAAAATTTAATCACTTCAATTTTTTCCATGAAGAATAAAGAACCATGAGGAATAAAAGTTACCAAAAAAAAAAAAAAAAATTAGAAGGTCAAAATTTAGAAGATGAACTATTCTGGAAGTTTCAACAGGCCTATAAATGGTTTTGTTGCTTGTGCTCCCTGAATGTAGAGTCTGCCTGTCTTTATGTGAGCTGAGCTACCAAAGACCATCTTCACAGGGGCAATGAAAAGCTAACTTAGAAGAATGGCTAGAATGAAGCTTTCCACATGTCTCCTCCAGCCACATGCCCGGTGCACTTTGTCCCTGCAAGGCAGGATCAGGTGGCCACTGGTTTGAAGAGCAGATTGCCTCTGCTGTCCTTCCTGTGCACAGGGAACACCTCTGCTGACCTTCCTATGCTGGAGTGGGGAAGGGAATTGTGTCAAGGAAAGTGAGATCAGTTCCTAGGGAAACCCTTGATACCAGTACTCTCTGTGGAGTCCCCTGTTTCCCACTGTGGAGGCCAAAGATGATTTCCCAGTGTTTCAATCAACCCCTGAGGTGTTCTTATTTTCCAGCAAGTGTACCCTTCTAGTCATCTGATTGCATTGTGACATATCTTTATGACAGAAAAATACCTTTTCACCACTTCTTCTTGGTGTGGTAGTGCAGATAGTCCAGTAACTGAATATTTATCTGCATACTTGTTTCCATTATCTGAGAATCTCAAGGGAATCTTGACATTAGTTTTTGCCACCTCTAGGCTGAGAGATGGAAAAGTTGGGTCAGAAATTTGGGCAGTAACCTAGCCCTCATGAACTTCATTTCAGAACATACTCCTTTTTTACTCCAAAAGACCTGTCCTCAAACCCCTAATGAATTAAATATCCTAAATCAGTGCAAGAATTCCTTATGCAGGGGCACTGTGGCCAAGAGAAGTCAACTAACTCTCTGCCACTGAGATGAACTGTAGAAGAACCAAGCACAGCAGAGATCCTTCAAGTAAAGTCACAGCACAACTTGAAGCTTTTCCAGTTGGTTGAGGCCTACTCAGAATTGACCAGCATACACCAGGACAGATGAAAATCACACTATGAACCTGGAAACCTTTGTCTCATCTCTCCTGCTGACTACCCAGTCCCAAATTAAGGGAACAGTGGTAGAATGTCAAGAACGGACTGATGCTCAGGTACTGGCAGCAGCTCCTTAAGTTTGGAGATAATCTAGAGAAAGGCAAAGACAAAAAGCGGAGCCTAAAAACTCTTGTGTTGACCTCTCAGGACTCTTTACTAAAGGAGATAATCCCTACTCTGGCCAGACTCAGAAGATAGAAAAGGAAGAAGAGAAAGCTATTGTAAAGTGCAGGAGAAAGGCCTGTGAAAGACTAAGGATGAGGTAGTTGCAAAGACTGGGAAGTCAGAAAAGCCTAGCAAGAAGAAACAGCTGAAAATACTTGGATGTTGGCTCAAAAGTGACAGTTCTGTGAGTCTCAAGTCTTAGGTGGGAGCTGATGGCCATCTGTGTCAGTGATCTGGGCTTTGCCTGATCTGTCCTTGCCTTTTCTGGCAGGTAGCGCTCTACTTATTCTGTTTCCTGTGAGAACTCCCACTTCCCATCTGGTGACAATTTAGTGTAAGGCGTTGCTGCTGGGATCAGCCCTCTTTTATTCCTTGTCCTCTGTGATACGCAGATAGGTAGATATGCTGCTAAGGAAAGTGCCTTTCTCCTAATTATCCTGTAGCCTACTGGGGAAGAGACATGTTCAGATCAAAGATAACTACATTCTGTACTCCAGAGGGACTGTTCATGGACCTCCCTGAAAGCAGGGTGCCAGAATTAGTTAATGTGTACCTTCTGGAATAAAAGAGACACAGAGAAAAGTGCCAGTCTCACACCATGCTGGCACAGCACCCCAAAATGAAACAAATCTTTGCATCACTCTGGGCCTTAGGAAATAACAACACTGGTTTAATTCAAGATATGGGACCAATAAAAACAGCTACAAGAAAGATAAGACCTGGCCTGTGTAAAACAATGTTCTTTGTTATGAGCTCAATTAGAAGGGATAAAACTTTCTATAAAAAAATTACAAGGGATAATTAAAAAAGGACATTCACCCTCACAATACTACCATACAATAAAGAAGGAAGGTAAATTTCATGAAGATATGTAGATTGGTATGATATAATGCAGAAATAAATAAATCCCTTCTGGCATCCCATCAACTCCCATAGTCACTACCCTGCAACTGTTCTGACTCTGGTATCATCATCTGCAAAGAACTGCCTTCAATCAATCTAAGTTCGGCTTTCCCACCCCACCCCCAACCCCATCCCCTAGTGGATATAGTCTAAATATTTGTTTGCTTTTATTTACAAAAGAGCTCAATATTTATAACAAAGTATTCTCCAAGAGTTTTGGGGCTCCCCTACTATTTTCTCTAGTCATTTGTAGGAAATTTGTCCCACCAAGGAGACCTATGATTAAACAATACTTGCACATGAAGGTTTGCCTACAGCCTCAAAAATTAAAGAGCAGTGCACAACTGATGCTCTACTGCAATACTTTGCTTCCCAGGTCATAAAGCCTCGGTAGACAAGTTGCAGCACTGCCAAGCCAAAGTCAAATATTAGAGCATCTATTGCAGGTGAAGTCTATAAGGTATTGCAATCTTGGGGTAAACTGATTTTGCATACAAGAGGGTACTAGGCAATGGATCCCTGCCTTTTTTTTTTTTTTTCCTTCAGTACTTGGGCCTATACAGGGCCTGGTGCCTGCTGGGCAAGCATTGTACCACTGAGATACCTCTCCAGTCCTGGATCACAGCTTTTGCCAAGTGTAAAAAAAACCTCTGGCAATCTGACAAGCACCTGCATAACTTTAGACATTCTGGTCTGGTCCTTAGAATCTAAAGAGGCATTTGAACAGCTAAAGTTGGATATTGCCTCTCCTCCAGCTTTGGAGATTTCAGATTTTGAAAAACTTTTCCATTTAAAAATAAAGAGCATTGACTTAAAACTTGGAATTGGAGTATAGACAAACAGTTTACTCCTCGGTTCTAGGTGCCACAGTGCTGGAAGTAATGTGGCTCTGTGAACAAGAGCCAGCATGGCATTCTTACTGAAAAGGCGCTATGACCTTGGTCACTTGATGTATTTGCATGCCCACATGCTACAACCTTGGAGCATACAAATCCCAGCATTTTTCAGGGAACTATTAACAATGAGCAAGCATTATTTTCCAATCCTAATATTGTACTCTGGAGGTGCAATCTCCTAAAACTTGGTGCCCTCTTACCAGGTCCTGATTAAATAGATGGCTCTGGTTGTGCAATTATAATAGAATATATCAGGATCTGACCTGATTTATCAGATGTTCTAGGCCAAAATTCAGATTTGGTCATGTTTTCTGTTGGGTCATGCACCTAGGATAAGAAGGACCAACTTCCTCTCCTGTGGTATGTGATGTTGGAGGCTTGTGTCTTCTATGGAATTAAGTTGGCACAAGTAGTAAGTAAAAGCAGTTACCAGAGCAGTTCTTGGTTCTGGACTTTCATAGTAGGTAGGTCGTAAATATTTGTTTGTTGTCTGTCATGCAACAGAGCAAAAACAAAAAATAAATAAATAATTTAAGTAGGGGAGTCGAACTTAGGTGAGAACTAAAAACAATCTTCTGTCAAATTGACAGCAAGTTTGCTGGGGTTTTACAACTGCTTGCTCAAAAATTATTAGTCCATTTTGTCGACAGAACTGCAAAGACTGCTGTTAAAACAGCAATCTCCAAACTTACAAGCCTCTTTTTTAATATAACAGGAACATTTGTTCATTTGCAAAAACATGCTTCACAGAAGGAAATGAACAACAGAATTATAAAAGGGACTGAAAGAAATTTGACTAGACTATGGGAATTACCTAACAAACTAATTCCTACATCACAGTCCCCATTTGCTTGGTTAGGATTACAGAAAAAGGGGAGGCAGGATTTTTGAAAACACTAAACTCTTAATATACCTACCAAAAAGATAAAATTGTTAAAAACATGAAAAAAGAGATGTGCTATCTGTAGCAGAATTCTTTGCAGGCTTCTCAGGGTAAGGCCAGGAAGTGCTCCCTGACCAACCTTATCAGGAACCTGGTGGCATTTGATTTCCTAGGATGAGTGGATGCAGAAGGTAAGAGAGTCTGCCCCCAAGTGTGGGTGACCTCTGGGTGCCCAAAGGCTTTGCTTCCTCAGAAGCCAGTCTGCAGGCAGTGGGGGATGCAAAGCACAGCCAATCGAAGGGCATCATTTTATGTCTTCTGTTTTTCTGGAATCATGCAGATGTTTGCAGATTCCTAAAAGCCCCAGTCTTCTGAGAAGTGGAACAAACAAATCAAACTCAAGGTAAAAACAAAAACCCCTCCTTGGATAAGATCCAGTCATATACCGGTTAAACTGACCAAGAGCTTAACCACTACCGTTGTTAAAAATTAGATTGAGTATGGAGATTCCTGGGAAAGCTGGGAATGGAACCACCATTTGACCCAGCTATTGCCCTTCTCGGACTATTCCCTGAAGACCTTAAAAGAGCGTACTACAGGGATACTGCTACATCGATGTTCATAGCAGCACAATTCACAATCGCTAGACTGTGGAACCAACCCAGATGCCCTTCAATAGATGAATGGATAAAAAAAATGTGGCATTTATACACAATGGAGTATTATACAGCACTAAAAAATGACAAAATCATGGAATTTGCAGGGAAATGGATGGCACTAGAGCAGATTATGCTAAGTGAAGCTAGCCAATCCCTAAAAAACAAATACCAAATGTCTTCTTTGATATAATGAGAGCAACTAAGAACAAAGCAGGGAGGAAGAGCAGGAAGAAAAGATTAACATTAAACAGATACATGAGGTGGGAGGGAAAGGGAGAGAAAAGGGAAATTGCATGGTAATGGAAGGAGATCCTCATTGTTATACAAAATTACATATAAGAGGTTGTGAGGGGAATGGGAAAATAAACAAGGAGAGAAATGAATTACAGTAGATGGGGTAGAGAGAGAAGATGGGAGGGGAGGGGAGGGGAGATAGTAGAGGATAGGAAAGGTAGCAGAATACAACAGTTACTAATAGGGCAATATGTAAAAATGTAGATGTGTAACCGACGTGATTCTGCAATCTGTATTTGGGGTAAAATTGGGAGTTCAAAACCCACCTGAATCAAATGTATGAAATATGATATGTCAAGAGCTTTGTAATGTTTTGAACAACCAATAAAAAAAAAAAAATTAGATTGAGAGTTGGGGTGCAGCTCAGTAGAACAGCAGCACTTACCCAGCATGTGCAAGGCCCAGGATTTCATCCCCAGCAGCTCAATAAAGAAAGAAATAAGAGTGAAAATAAAATTAGAATGAGTGCTGCAAGCAAGCATGGACTTTCTCCCTTGGAATTCGTATCGGCAGGCCTGTGAATTTGGCTCAGAGGCTAAATCCTGTGCCTGATTAGACTGAATCCTCTCATTATCTTGTTCAGTACTTAAAAAGCTTTCCTCTTCCCCCCAGAAATCCTGAGTCTCAAATTCCTACATCATAAAGATCTAGAAGTATCTGCCAGAGGAAGTCTGCCACACCTCTCAACCAGAAGACTTGGTCTACATGAAAGCTGACTGCCACCGTGCTGAAAAGGGCCCTTTCAAGTGCTTAGATGACCCACTCAGCTATCAGTAAAGGCAAATGGCTGGGATCCTGCTTCTGTGTGAAGCCAGCACCGCAGGAGGGCTACACTGTGGTCCCCATAAAGGACCTAAAACATCAGTTTCTAAAGTAACTGGCATTGAACTCAACTGCAAAGAAGCAGACTGGGAAATGCATTGGTATTCTCATAGGCTGCTTGGTCTCCTGTCATTCCAGTTACTGTGAGGATCACATTTACTGGAAAACAGCATTCTTTGTTCCACTTCTGTTTCTCTGCATTCCCAATAATACTGCCCACAGCCACACATGTCTGGCCAGCTCAAAATTGTGCTCCCAGTATGGACTTGATCTGGAATAGGGTGTCCAACAGGCTGATTTTGGCAGAAAACAGTGAGACCATCTGCTCTAGTACTTTTTGATAATAACCAAGTAAAAATTAATGTGCATCTAGGTATTCAAACTCTAAATTTGGCACAAAAGTGTTTGATTGAAAGGATGAGGTAATAGAGGAAAGCATTTAATTGAGAGACAAACTGCAAAAGACAGGTCTTGACCATCTTTTCATTTCATCTGCCCTTTACCATTAGCTTTTTGTGAAGTTGGGTTTGTGCAGAAATGCAAAACCTCCTCCTGAATGAAGCTGTGTGCGAAGCTGTGAATGAAGCCCTGCTCTCATTTAGGAACCTGTCCTCAAGGATCAGGCTCAGTCCTTTGGAGGAAAGGAACCCCTGACCACTCACTGGCCACTTTGCCCTGTTCCCAGTTTGATTCCTGCTTTCTAATTTGGATTTTTTAATCCTCAGGAAAAGGGCAAGCCTCCCCTTCTCTCCTGATTCTACTACCTCCCCATCCCTAAAATTTGAGCAGCTAGCACAGTGAGCACCCAGAGATGTGTTTCTTTCCCTCTTTCTCCCTCCCCCTCCCCCTCCCTCCACCTCACTCCCTTCAGCCCTAGAGCATCCTTGAGTCTCCTCTTTCTAAGCCTGCCCACTGGTAAGCACTGCCCAGAGTGCCCTTCCAGGGTGGACCCGCTGTGATTTCATAGCACTCCACTGAAGCCACCCTGTGCACACACCACCATGGCTGGTTCATCCTCAGCTCTGCATGCTGTGTGCCAACAGGAGCACAGGTCTGCCCAGGTTAAGTGAGCACACATGGCTGTCACACTGGGAGCTCCACCAGGCTCAGCTGACTCATCTCTACATCTGAGTGCCTGTACTAGCAGGCCATAGGGAAATGTTTGAATCAAAGTCCTGTGTCTCTCTGGCTAGAGAAAGCAACACAGCTGGTCCTCCCTCTCTCTCTTTTCTGACTCTGTAGCAGCCTGCACAGGAGCTGCCCTTCAGAGGGAGTTCCAGCACTGAGGTACAAATATTCATAGGCCACATCATTTACAGACCAGAGGGGCATAGCAGTTCCCCTCTAGTCCTTAGCTTTAGCCACTCATGGGAGGCTACAGCAGTCTTACCTACCTTTAGCCTCCCACGAGAACCAGAGGTCTTCTGGACCAACCCCTACATGCAGTGCTGATTTTCCTGGTCACTGAGCATGGGCACCTAGATGCTGGGGAGGCTGCCTGAGACTGTGCAGTGTGACTCATCTGAGGGAGGAGGCTGGCCTGGCCATGCACCAGGTCCTAGTGGCAATCATATCCCAAATTCACCCAAGAACAGACCTGTCTTCCCACAGTCCCTGGATGTGGCTCCTTATTATAGGCAGGACATAGCTTAGAGACTAACAGCTGCTTCCAGAATTCTTAAGAAGCACTGGATCTGATTTGGGCAAGTAAATACCACCCAGCCCCTTCTTACTCTCCTTTGCAGGCATTCTAAAACCCAGAGGGGTTGACAGGAGGTGGGCAGTAAGGACAGATGGGTCCCAGGGAAACCTCTGGGTTCCATACCTGCACTTCAGACAGAGAGGAAGGCTTGGCATTTGTGTGATATTTATTGAGCTTACCTGTGCACTCGGCACTGCTGAATCCTTTGCATTCATTATTTTATTTAATTCCCCCAAACAGCAATAACAACCTACTGATAAAGTGGATGTGTTCAGTAAGTGAGGCCTAATTAAGCTGCATAACGTGTAATTGGATTATGTTCAACTCTCCACACATGTTATACCATCATTTAAAAGCCCTGTAAAGCTCATGCTGTTGTCCTTTTTTTTTTTTTTTTTTAAAGAAACTAAGACAGTTTGATCCTTGAGTTCAGATTCATAACCACTGTGCACTACAAAGTGACTCCAAGGATCTGTTCTCAAAACGACTGCCCAGAAGGGATGCCAGCACCCTCCAAGCCACCCTTCTCACATGGGATCCCATTAAATTCTCTCCCACCCTTTGGACCTGCAGCCCCCACCCCTGCCTACCTGCCTCTCACTTTGAGGACAAAGACCTTCATGAATTTCTCACCCACCAAACACAGCTGGAGCCTCCAGGTTCTATTTCTAGAAGCCATTCAAAAGCTCTCAGCTCTGAAGAAGAATGAATCAGGGATTATGTTCACTTTATGGATACATTATTATTTTTTTAATGAAGGAGTTCATTCTGTGGGTTCCCTCACCTAACAGCTGCTAGGCTTCCCTAGGAACACTCTGAAATTTGACCCATAACTAGCCATCCAGCAGAGATACTGAGGAGACAGGAGGTTGCCAGAGAGGATTTTGATCTTCATATAGAAATCACTGATACTTGAAAACAAAAGCATCTCTGGAATTTCAGTGAGTTCCATGGGGAAATACATCATTTTGTTTTTGTGTTTCATAATAACTTTATGTCATAATAACCCTCAAGGGTAGTGCCTATAGTTCAAAATGGAGGAGTAGACAGAATATAGAGGTGTTTCCTCAACCTTCTGATGGACAGCCTCCTTGGTCTCAGGGCCTTTACACTGGCTGCTCCCTCCTCTTAGAAACTCCCACCAGTTATCTGTGTGGGTGTTCCCCCTTCCTTCAGGTCTCTGCCCAAACTACAACTTCTCAGAGAGGCCTTCCTGAACCATCTTATATAAGGTCCCCACACAAACCTGCTCCCCGCTTTCCCTTGCTTCTCCTACACAGTGTCTCTTGTCTGACAATGTCCACACACACACATTTTCTTGCTGGTATGTTGCCTGTCTCCTCTCACTGGAATATAAGCTTCATGGTGGCAGGTCACAAGTTCCATCCTCAGCATGGTGCACAGGACTAGGCACATAGTAGGTGTTCCATGTAATGCGCTTCCAAAGTTGGTTTTCCTTTTGGAAACTTCATGTGTTTTGTCACAGATACCAGCCTGCTTCATTTAAGTTTCAGTCTGCTCCCACCCGGCTGACCAGCAGTGTCCTCTTTCCCTCATATCCTCTATGGGAAGTCAGCACTGCAGCCAGTTTCCATAAAGACATAGACAGGGAGGCCCCAATTTCCATTTCCAACACAGCCGGGAGGGACCTGGGCTCGTAAGCCGTGTCCTTCCAGCCTTATTCCCAGCCTCCAGTGAGCACCTCCCAAGGGCAGGCCTGTCCACATTCTTCGGTTTTATCTTCTTCCCGGCACCAACTATTGTACTTGGCACCCAGCAGGTACTCAAATCAATTTTGGAAATGAGAGCACACAACCTCTCATCACACACTGAGAAATATCCCCAAGATGCAGACTGAGCACTGAGCTCACACCCTCTGCAGAAGCTGAAATATAAGATGACGTCCTTGAGGGGACACCCCTTACCACACTCCCAGGAGGAGCTTCTTGCCACATAGGTGTGCGTGTGTGTGTATGTGTGTGTATGCGTGTGTGTGTGTGTGTGTGTGTGAGAGAGAGAGAGAGAGAGAGATACCAGAGGTATCATATGGGCCAGCTGTCCACTGCTGCTGGCTCAGAGATCTGTCACTGGGGTAAGGGAGGGGACAGAAATGGCAGGCAGGGGCAATGGCTGCCCAGGTGCCCATCACAGGCTAGTTTTGTTTTCCTTTTCTTCTCTTTTCCAGAAATGGTGGGGGAAGGATTCTAACTCCTGTCTGCCCACTCTTGCAGGGCCTAGGGTCAAAGGCACAGACAGTGTCTGCAACACCCACTCTCCCCTCTGTGCCCCTGATCCTGGAGAAAGGGGCAAAGCCTGTGCTCCAGCGCAGGATCTCCTGGGCCTCTTCTATGGAACTCAAAACAGAGAAAGAGGCCATTGAAAAGTGAAACAAAACTCAAAAAATTCCTGGCTCAGATGATTAGTATTCATTGAGATCTACCTAAATCTGCAGCTCCTAGAGTGTCTTGGAGCAGACCAGTTTACAAAGTTTGGATTCAAACCCATCATTAGCCCTTTGCATCCAGAAAGCCACAATCCCCTTAGGGTCCCATCTGTGCTCTCCCGGTGTGGGTTAGAAGCAGAGAAGCAAGGCAGAGAGCCCCACCTGAGATGGACTAACCCAATCCTGAGACGATGGTGTGTGGAGATGGAGTCCTTGGAGGTATGAAGTCTGGGAGTGGGGTCTTCACCAATAGGATCAATGCCCTTACTAAAAAAATGCCAGAGAGTTAGCCTGTTCACTTTCTGTCACCTGAGGACAGATGTTGACAGTCTGCAACCTGGAAGAGGGTCCTCACCAGAACCTGAGCATCTGCCTCTCCGGTCTCCAATTTCTAGCTTCCAGAACTGCAACAAAAGTGCATGTTAATTAAACCATGCACTCTACAGCAGTTTGTTACTGCAGCCCAAACCAGCCAAGACACCAACTCCTTCTGGATTTTCTGAGGCGGCTCAAGCTGCTCACCTCCTGGCCCTCTCCCCAGAGCCCTGTGCTGTCTTCTGAGGGCCACTTGAAGCTCTCCCTAGCATTTCCCAGGCAACACCTTTGGGATCTCCACACCCACCCTATAGTGCCCAAGGCTAGAAGCCTGTGGCACAGCTGTCCCCACCCCCAGCTGCTCTCCTATCTTGCCAACAGGAAGTGTGGCTGAGCAGCATTGTCCAGACTAGCCTTAGTGGCCTCTGACTTCTTTAAAGCAAGCGTGTGCATCAGCAATACTTCACAATTTTTAAAGAAATCTTTGGTAGCCTGGTCAGTTGTGCTGTTTTTAGTAGCTGCGTATTTATGTCATAACTCACAAACTCCATACCTCACAACTCGTGAGAAAGATGCTGTATGGAATGTCTGTGCCCCATGGACAGAGAGCCCTGACAAACACCAGGTGCTGGCCACAGAAAGAGAACATACACAAGGCTTGCCCTTGCTCTGAATCTCAGTGGGAGGTGCCACCCTTCCCCACCACATGAATCCAAGTGAAGCATCGATAAAACCATAAAATGGCAAGTGATAAAACAACAACAAAAACACTCTTGAACTTTCAAAGTCACATCACTTCCTAGATTGAGACTCTGGGCTTTCTTTGGCTCTTTTTATTGGTTCATCTAGACTGTGCTCCTGGCAAGCAGGATGTAAGGGAGGGGAAACATCCCCTCTGAGGCTTGATGATTGAGCCTAGAAAATAAACTGGCAATAGGCAGACTAACGAGAGAAGGCTCACAAGCATGTCGTGCACTTGGACGTCATGTGAAGGAAAAGTGGATCCTGCAAAACCAGGAAGTTCCCCCAGAAGCTTGCACATGCACTCCTCAGGGCAGAGCTGAAAGAGGTGGGCAACTCAGGAGAGTAGATGATCTCTGGGAAAAAGGAATGGGCCCTCAGCAGAGTAGGCGGCAAAGCCTGCCTGTAAGAGATCCCAGGAGGCTACTGATAAGTAAAGTATAAGTTGTGACAGTTGTGACCTGTCTTTAAGGGCGTCCAGAGAATACCTCTGCTTGTGCTCACTGACCCCATGACCTCAGTGTGCTGTCATCCGCAGACCTGAGCAGCAGACTTAGGGTGGCATTTCCAGAACTCCTAGGGTGCCGACACCCCACATGTCTTTCAGCTCACCTCACACAGGACATGGCACCCCTACGTGCATGTGACTTACTACCTACCTCTTTGGGAATAAAGAGGAGCTGACTGTTCCTGGGTGGTTAGAACTGATGCTTGAGGCAAAGTGGGCTGAGAAGCCCCTCATCATCAGAATGGGGACCCTGAGGAAGTGAGCTGCCACAGATGCTTGCTGTGGGTGGCTAGGCATCCAGGGATAAGGATGTGCCGGCTGCCCACTGAGCACTGGGTGCTGACACAGTTCAATCTGGGGCAGGGCCAAGGGTCAGCATCTTAATCAGTCTTCTGATTTCCTGCAGTTTGTGGCTTCATTTCTTTGTGTCTAGAAGACACAAAGATATTGAGAACTATGCACCTGTCTTCACCACTGGTTCCTGTCACAGAGCACCTAGAGGCCTTAGAGCTGCCTTAGGTTCAGGGTAAGAGGACTGTATTCTGTTACCAATAAGGAGCTTCACACCTGAGTTTAGGTTAATGAGCTGGCTCTGTAAGGATGGGAGCTGGTCACTAAAGGAACCAGTCATGGAATTGGAGAGTTGGAACTTCCAGTTCCATCCCCAGACCTCCAGGGAGGCAGGAGGGGCTGCAGAAGGACTTAATCACCAGGGACAGGGACCTGACCAATTTTGTCCATGTAAACCTAGAAGGAGCCATGTGTGGTGGTACACTCCTGTAGTCCCAGCAACTCGGGAGGCTGAGGCAGGGGGATCACAGGTTCAAGGCCAGTCTCAGAAACTTAGCAAGGCCCTGTCTCAAAAAATTAAAAAGGGCTGAGGGTGTAGCTCAGTGGTTTTGCACCACTGGGTTCAATCCCCAGGACCACACCAACAACAAACCTGAAGGAAGGTTTCAGAGAGCTTCAGGGCTGGGAAAGCCTGGGAGGGCGTGTGCCCCAACCATACTAGGATAGGCGTTCCTGCACTCGGGGCCTTTCCGAGCTTCACCCTGAGGTCATCATTCACTGTGGGGACCCTGCGTTTGTAGCCAAGCTGGCCAGCATGTGGAAACCCAGGACTGGCAATTGGCCTCTGACATGGGGAGTATGTGTGGAAGAGCCGCTCACCTGTGTGCACTGTTCTAACTCTGGAAGCCAGCTTAGCATGGCTTCCAGAAAAATTCTCTGTGGATACCAACTGTAGAACACCCAGTTGGTATCCACAGAGAATTGGAAATCTGGTGAGGAAAACCCTCATAGTTGGTATCAGAAGTGTTAAGTGCAGAAAGCAATTGTTTCTGCTAGGCCTCTGGACTGTGTA